ACTAAACTCCAAAACTTTCTCCATTCCTCTTTCATTGATTCATAACAGCTGACATTTTGGAAATACCACATTTGCACACCGAGGCAGAAGCAGCGTTGTGTAAAAAAAAAGAAGACACCTCTGGGAGAGATAGAGATAGATAAAGGAGACAGACGGAAAATAAGTGAAGGGAGAGGGAGAGGAAATAAAGTTTGAATCACCTGCGGGTAGAATTTAAGAGAGAGGTGAGAATAATTCCTTCACACAGCCTCAATCTGCAGTCGCATGGTGTTTGTATGCAGGCGATGCCACACAGACTGGCAATCATACTGCCATACAGCCCCTAAAAAACAGATCCAGTGTCCTGAAATCAAGTCAAATCCAAAATGTGACGCTGACAAAAAATATTCACTTATTTATCTTAAGATATGAAAAGTCAAAAATTGCAGTTATTGGTCTTTGCTCATAAATACTACAAGTATTTACTACAAGTATTTATAGTATGAATTTATTTTTAATAAGCTTTGAATTAGTATCTTGAATCAAAGCGATATATGCAGCCCTGTCAACTGCAAATTGGTTTATATAACTTCAACTAATTTGGAGGTTGACTTTAAACCTTAAATACACTAAAATGATTATAAATCCATTGCTGTTTTTTGGGGTAAAACAAAAAAACTGCTGATACTTCTTAAATAGATCCTCTCTAATATCGCTGCCATGCCTCAAAAACCCAGCATTGATTCTTATTAACACTTTTAACTGCACCAGTTCTCTTCCACCATCCTACACGTTAGCCTCCTATAATTATTTACCTCTAAGTCTAAAACATTTAATAAAAAACCAGCGAGTGCTCTCATTTAAAATCCTTGCCGAGTGACTAAAATGTAAAACAGATAATCCACTCTGGGATCCGCGTTAAAGGATTAGTTTTTCACCTACGTGCTGTGTGTTGAAAACCTTTGCAATACACACCCGCTTGTTGATAATCCCTCATTTAATCATTAAATCAATACACAAATAAGATAAGGTATCCTCTCCTGTCCATATCGTCTGTCTAAATCATTGTCCGCTTACAGGGGGATCAGGTGTCCTCTCACTCTGCTTTCATATCTTCAGCGACCGTAAGAGAAACCTAATCAGACCTTTTTAATTAAAGAGGCCGGAGTGTTGGAGGGGCGAGAGGAGAGGGGGAGGAGGTGAAGGGAGACGAAGATGAGGGTGGATGAAGGGGAGAGGACGAGTCTGTCTGCTGAAAGCCACTTAAATCCCTTTCTTATTAACTCTCTGTGACACATGATCCACCTCCATCCCCCCACACACACACACACACACACACACACACACACACACACACACACACACACACACACACACACACACACACACACACACACACACACACACACACACACACACACACTCTCAAGACTAGAAACCAGCTCCTCTTACTATAAGAAACAGCCGTCTGCATCTCTGCTGCAGCTTCATTTGGCTGCCTCCCACTACTCACTAAATCAGGAAGGATTTTCATTCAAGCTTAATTTAAGACAGATATTGCAGTGACATTTCCCTATGCAGATGCAACCTAACCTCCAGCAGAGGAGGCCAGTGTAACTAAATGTAATTGACCGAGCTGGAAAAGGTGACATTTCTTGGGATAGTGAGGAAAAGTTCATCCTGCTCCACTTCCACTAGAAGGGATAGACGCACATATGCAGGGGCTTTATGTCGCTGTGATGGTAGAATACAAACTTTTTATTACAGTTTCCATCACTTGATAACCAAAAAGGGTCTTCAAAATGTTATTATCTTTATCGCAAAAGTTATAGCTACTTTTCCGCATGTAATTTTCTATATCATTGTAAAATAATTGTGGAATAAACTCAGGTAATTTTCTGACTTGTTGAGTATATAATTATTAGAAGGATCCTATTAAATATTGTCGCAAATCAAATATTTAGTTTAGACTTTAATGGTTTGCGGAGGACACATTCTAAAACCTCGACAGATACATTTGTTCATGACCAAATATGCTCAAAACTAATCCTATTAGCCTGACGCTATACTTGTTTAATGCTATTTAGCAAAGATTAGCATGCTAATATGCTAATCTATGATGAAAAACATGGTTAGCATTGTATTTGCTTAGCATCACCGTGTTAGCTACCTTTTTCTGAGCCTTTAGCAAAACAAACAGCCCCACAAAAGTTACTTAGTACTTTTCAGAGAGATTTTGGCCAAATAGAGTGAATTTCATCTTTATTTTTACACAACAACTTCACCTATCATATTGTATTTCAGTGAGAACACATTTTCAGGGCTTTTGTGGATTTTTCTTGCCAATACAAAAGGATCCGAAAATAAAGTTGCTCAGGTGAAATGTTTTCCAGAGATTACATCATTTAATCTCCTCTTGTGTCAGGTGATTAAAAATAAGGAGAGGGTGAAGTGTTGAGGGCACACATATGAAAACACGCTGCAAAATATATAAAACACGTGCCGTGGCAGATCCACATTAAAATGTCATGTTTAATTCGATGGATTATCCAGCTCAGGCAATTTTCAAGTGACTGGGGGTTGTTTTCCATTCTGTACAAGATATATTGGCTTCTTCTTAAGGGAGGAAAACACTAATATCTCCTACTGCTCAGGCTGTGCTCAGACAAAACCAGACCGATGTAAACAACATGTTTTTGAAAGAACGTTTTATTTATTAATAGTACCAAGGTACCTTTTCCCAACATTGAGAGTGCCGTGAGTTTCTTTGTGCCGAGTCTTGCAAGACTTGTTGTTGCAGAATATTAGCGTGCTACATATAAAAAGACACATTAGCCGCCTTCACACCGCAGTACTTTTCCCACAAAGGTTCATGAGAACTTAGTTCATGAGAACTATTTAGTTCTCATGAACTAAGTACAGATCGCGTTCACACCGGAATAAGTCCCTGGGGGAGGTTTAGGCAAATGAAGCCGCTGACGGCACTTCTTCTTCTTCTGCATTGGGTTACTGGCAGGCCGCAAACAACTTCACGGCGTATACTGCCACCCGAAGTACCCCGAACTCATTTTAGTTCCAGATTTTTTTTGGTGTGAACGTGACATTTCGGAACTATATCGGAACTAAAGTGGGAAAAGTACTGTGGTGTGAAAGCGCCTATTGGGAGAATAAGCCCTGCTGGGTGAGCTTTTTATATTTCTAAAATTAGTCTGATATGTGATGGACAATTAGTAAAATGGCCGTCTGAATTTCCTGTCTCTTGCTTTGATGTCTTTCCAGTTTTCTTGGTAACAGTTTCCTGAAATTGACTGATTGTTTTTGTAAATTAAAAAGCAAAATACCCCCAAAAATTGGAAGATTGGCAGATTAAATATACTTGGGATTTTGACTGTTGGATTAAACATTTTTGGAATAAAGGAAATAATGAAATGGATTCTACTTGGCTAGATACTGCATCACTGTTTGTTCTTCCGGAGTATTTTCATCCCTCAGTCTTTAATCAATTTGGACGATGACAACTTCCTTTTGTTATGAAGATAAATATACGATGCGATTGTGTTCCAATTATGAAGCCGGCAGAGGACATTCTGTATTGACAACAACAAAAGATGAACTAGCCAAAAAAAAAAAACCACGTGTCTGCAGCAATCTGTGCATCAATTAGTGTGAGAGCATGTTTAATAGAGGCTTAGTGTTTTTGTGCATCTGTGTGTGTCTGCACACATATGTGTCAACACACATTCCTGCTGAGCACAACCAGCGAAGCATCGCAATCCCAGCTGTTTTGGGATTGGAAAACAATTACGTCAGTTTTCTCTCTTAATCTCCCACAACTCAACTCAAGGTCAGCTGTCAGTTTTGTTGAATGCTTAATTAGTCTTTGGGAAACATCTTGATTGTGCTTAGAACCTGGGGCTCACTTCTCTTCAACACAGTTGTTTCGTTTTTCACAGAAAACTGTCCTATCATGTCCTATCATGTCATTACAAATTGAAATTAAGTTTTTGCAAGCTATGTACGCCATTTGTTAAATAACTTAAGTCATTATAAAGAAGAATGTGTAACTTAGCTTTTTCCAGATTCCCAAATGTAAGGTTTTGTATCAATATTCATTTAATATTTGGAGGTGTGGGACTCTAAAACACCAAGAAAGCAATTTGAATAAATCATCTTTGGTGCTTAAAGAAACTGTAACAGGCATATTTTTAATTAGTAGTTAGAAATATGCTTCAGTTCTATTTGTTTTGAAAGCAAGTAGCATGAATCTTGGTCAAAACACCAATATGAAAGGTCCCTCCCTGTGCAAATCGATGCGCTCATGCTCCCCTACCATGATTTGTATACAAAAGAAATCCAACAATTGGCATAAATGTTGCTTTGAGTTACAAAAACGTTGGCTATAGTGGCTGTTGGCATGTGCATGGATGCTAACAGGACAGTGTAATCAAGGAGACAGACGTCGGCCGTTGTTATGCAAGTGAGATGCCGCCGAGAGAGGCTTGGACTCCTTCCCAGGTTCCATCTCGTCGTGGCGGGTCAAGTGACACGGGGCGCTCTCACTGTGAAGTGCTTTTAGTTTTTCTCATGTGCATGTCCCTCATTACTGACAGGACCTAATGTACCTGCCCATCTGTCCACGATTTGAGTATAAAAAGGTGTAACTGTGATTGTTACTATTACAGCTGTGGAAGGTAATGAAGGCATCATTCGGCACATTATTAGAGTGACAAAAGCCAAGCCTCGCTACCCTTTGCTAATGGACCCCGGCCATTATTTGCGGAGTAAATCCTCCTTACCATGTTCATTTCCCTTTTCTTCCTGTCCTTTCACTCCTCATTTCTGTTACCTTTCATCTTCTCTCACTCTAAACCCCCCTCTCATTTTCCCTAATTCCCGTCGCCTATTTTCACCGCCGTTCTTGTTCCACCTCATGCTCATTTTCGCTTTCTCATTACACCTCCAACTGCCCTCCTTCTCCTTCTCTGCCTTGACTCATGATCGCTCTTTTCTCCCGCAGTCCCAGTGAAGCAGAGAGAGAGAGATGTCGATGAAGAAGATTTTCCTGGTCTTCGTCGCCATCAGCACCATCAGTCTCCTGCTGCACCATGGGGGCCACTTGAGCTGGTGAGTGATCGAAACACGCCCTCACATATGCAAACGCTCACATTATATACCCTCTATCTCTCTGTAAGTTCAGACGGTGCTAATTACCATGAAGATGTCTGTCTTTTCAAGGCAAATTAATAGCAGGACTGTCTTATTATAATTCTCAGATATGGAGGGTTTGAGTGCAGATGCACTGCCACAGTGGTCGAGGGACCAATTATAAAAGTAGTGAGATCACAGATCTCTGACAGCCCCTTTGTACCCTTTTCAACTTAACGTGTTGCTAATAAAATCATTTTCACATTGCCATCTTTGGAGTCTCTGTTATTGCTCTGCCCTTAGTCTCTATACTTTTCACACATTGTTTCCACACCTTTTAAATATCCCACACTTTAGTTCTGTGTTCAGGGAATACTAGTGTGAGAGTTTTCAGTGTGCATGCACCCAATATGGACGCGTGATTGGGCTTTTGTGTGTTGTCAGATTCAGCTCTTTTCCTATGGTAAAATTGTATCATGAATATTCATCCTGATTAGAATTTGGCTACACTGGGACTCCTAAAACATATTTTTGTTGTTGTTACCCCACTATATTGGGAATAAGAAGATGCAAAGGATGAAGTTTTATGTCAGGCCCTTAAGTGACTTTTCAAGATCACTTGCAGATGCGGATATTTTCCTTAGAGTATAGGACTAAGATCATTATCATAATGACATACTCTTGGGAAATATTGAATAGGTAAAGAACGCGTGCAGTACAAACAATTCCAACATACCTCATAATTATTCTTTCTCTTAGTTTCTGATACCACGTTTCTATTTTCAGCATATGCACTGAATATTACTAGATTACAGTCACCTTAGTCCCTTGTGCTAACACTCTATGGCCTGTTGCATTGAAGCCTCAAATAAATGAATACACTCTCTTTTTCTGTCTCTAGGACCATGGGAGCCTTCCACATCGGTTGTCCTGCCCTTCGTTCCCACCCTGCCCCAGGCCTTAAACCAAAGCACACCAATGTGGTCTTCCTCAAGACCCACAAAACGGCCAGCACCACCATGCAGAACCTGCTTTTCCGCTTCGCAGAGCGCAACAACCTCACGGCGGCGCTGCCCGTGCAGGCCTGCAGCCACCAGTTCTGCTACCCGCGCTCCTTCACCTCCCACTTTGTCCACCCGCACACGCTACCGCCGAACATCATCACCAGCCATATGCGCTTCAACAAGGCTGAGCTGCAGCGGCTGATGCCCAATGACACAATCTATATCACGATCCTGAGAGAGCCGGGATCCATGTTCGAGTCTTTGTTCAGTTACTACAACCAGTACTGTCAGAGCTTCAAGAGGGTTCCCAACGGATCCCTTGAGGCTTTCTTGGAGGAGCCCTGGAAATACTACCGAGCAGATGAGAAGGACTCCATGTACGCACGCAACACCTTGACCTTCGACTTGGGCGGAGACAAGGACCGCTCAGCGAAAGATGAGGCGTATGCACGGGGCTTTGTGGCAGAGGTGGACAGAGTCTTCTCCCTGGTGATGATTGCTGAGTACTTTGACGAGTCGCTGGTTCTCCTACGACATCTCCTCTCTTGGGATCTGGATGATATTCTGTATGTTAAACTCAACATGCGGACGCCAAGCTCAAAGCGGAGCCTGACGCTGGGCCTTCCTTCAAAGATCCGTGCCTGGAACTCCTTAGATGCACGTCTGTACGACCACTTCAACGCCTCATTGTGGCGCCAACTATCGGCTCTGGGTCCAGCTTGTGTGGCGAGGGAGGTGCGACTCCTCCGGCGGGCTCAGGAGAGCTTAATGAGAAGCTGCTTCGGAGGGCGCATGCCGCTTCTCCGATCGGCAGCACAGATCAAAAACAAGGATCTCCGCCCTTGGCAGCCTAGTGGGAAAGTTGACATTGTTGGCTACGACCTCCCGGTAAATCTCAGCCGTGGGTTCTCGAGTCAAGCCCAGGAGCTTTGCCTCAAGCTCATCATGCCAGAGGTCCAGTACACACGGGTGCTTCTACGTTCCCAATCACTGCGCTACCGTCGAGACTACCAACTCCGGCCTCAGCAGCAGACACATCCCATCCAGCAGCCCATACGCACAGTCCTGCCTCGGCATCCTCAAGTGCAACGCAGTCAACCTCCCCCCGCGGCCCCAGGCCCTGCATCAGGGACTGGGGCCACCTCCACCTCAAAGCCCGCTGCAGGAACTCAAGGCCGGACCACAAAGATAGGGCCTCGATCGGCACAGACCGAGGCCTCGCAGACTGAAAAATAGAGACTGGAATATAGTGCCCAAAAGGCTGCATTGTCCTCCCCATCCTGAAGCTTGAGACAATGGGACCTGGTTGGTGGGGTTGTTGAAAAAAGTCTGGGTTGCTCTTGAGTCAATGTCTCTCTTGTCCCGTACAGACAGAGTTTGGGATAAAAATAACTGAGGAACATCAGAGGAAAAGGGGGTTAGATATATCTGGACTTGAACTTGAATATGTGCTCTCTCTGGTCTGTGAAACAGTCTTAGGACTTGAGGGCAGGAGGAATCTACTAAAGGACCTGGCTCACTTGCACGCCAAGTTTTTTAGGTGAAAGTGGTTATTTGAAGCAAAATCTGTTATGTGCGACTGGGACTCAATAGGGAAGTGGCGATATCGGGGCCTATTGTGAGGCACAGAGTAGGCGTTGTGTGTATCACACTGGTAAAGCATCATGTTACTTGCTTTCATTCCTTGCTCTCTCCTCCTAACATATGCCACTTAAAGTCCTTGAGAGAGCCATAATGACATAAAGGGATTTGCTGTCAGGCGTCCAAAGAGCCTTTTAAGAGGCCAGACAGCCATTGAGATCAGCTCCAACCGTTAATACAACAGCACAATCAACAACTCTTCTTCTTCTCTTACAAACTTTAGACGCTAAGGCAAAGGAGGGAGGGGAGTTAAAAAGCCAGATAGATAGATAAAAAGGGAGAGATTACAGAAGATATGCGTGAAGACTGGATCCATTACAGAGACTGAACGAACTGTCTCTTCGGCCTTTGACCTCATAGGCTCCCTCTACGCATCCTCCCCATCCTCCCATCCCTGCTGCTACCCTCTGGTTGGGCAGAACCTCCAGAGAGTTGCGCAAACATATTTTGTTTTTCTCCTTCTTTGATTGAAGTCTCCCACGGAACTCCAGCTGCGATCACATCATAGAGACTATCTAGGTTTCTGGATGTGGGGGTTTTGTTTTTAATCTTGGCCGTTATTGCAATAAGATCTCTGTGCCTACGCCACGTACGAAAGGCATGGATTTAATAACATACCAGCAACCCCGCACAGCACAAGCAAAAACAACTGGACAGGACAAAGACTTGAAGCCTGTGGGTCGCAGTGTTTGAATATTTAATCGTCCCCTCTCATGGCCTTCCTATGGCATATGTTCTTGGGTTACACGGCTGTACATTTTCATTTAGAATACAAGGACCAAAGTCATTGTGAACTCGGGAAAGCATTGATGTAGGGTGTTTAAAGCCTCTTAAGGCTGGTGGGCCGGCTGGTTTGGCTGTGATCTTCAAATGTCATCACTTATCTCAGATTTGATCCGTTTTTAATCCATTCTGCTCATATTTAATGTGTCATTCAATTTATTTTACTCCTCATGTGGTCACACTGCTAAGTAACTGGGAAAGATGTCTGTGCGTATTTTCTGTGAGTGTGTGTGTGTAAGACAAGAAGCAGCTTTCTCTGCTTCATGTTGTATTTTGTTCCCAAGGCCAGCCAATTTGGCATGGCAACAAAAGGAAACCATTTGTGTGACATGTATGACAACTATGTGTTATTTATTATCGGGACTGAAAGAGTCCCATTACTGTATTTTTAACTGTTACGAGTCACTGGATAAAAAACCTCTGTTTGTCGGTCTTTTCCCTTCAGGCAGCTGAGGTGGAACAAGGCATGTGGCAATGATATAAAATATTCATTCTATATATGTTTTACAAAATGCAAAACTACAGAGACCACTCCCGGAAAACCACACATTGAAACAGGAGTTGTCGCTTTAAAATGAATCTTTCACTCAGCAGTGCTTAAGTGCTCAACCACACACCATTTCTGTGGTTTGGGTGTGTCGTCCTGTAGGTTATAATAATGAAAAACACAAACCACTGCTGCTCTGACAGGAATAAAAAATGGAGCGGTTGGAAAACAAACCGGAGTCGAGGATAAACAGTTTTATGAAGTGGCTGTGAATATTTAAATTCAAAGTGGGCTTATCTGAACTTACTGTGGAACCTCAGCTCTGAGAGCACGAGATGCACAGCAGTCTTTTTTATTTATTTACCGGTTTATGAAATGTGTTCATATATGTGTAATAGGTACATACACTGCAAATACTCACTTTAAAGGTGTTTTTTCACGTCTCTGTGTCAACAAACGCTGGAAAGCTGCTGGAAATCTTTAAAAACGGGACACAAATATGTGCTTTCATTATTTTTATTTTTGTATGCAGCTGTGAAATGTGGTTTTGAGGAGCTGTTACTTTAACAATAATAAGGCTTTTTGGGGACAATATTCTGCCGGGGATGATTGCACATTTAATTCCATGCTGAGTATTTCCAGGGGCAGACAGTGTATTAAGGATTAACAAAAGAACCGGTGTTGTAATAGTTGGGAGGATTTTGGGATTAATTCATTGTTTATTTTGGCTTTTTAATGGATTTGGTGGCAATTGAAGTACTCATAATATCTAAAACCACCAGCCTTATAAAATCCGTTTGGTGATGATAATTATCAACTATATTTGAATTAGCTTGATTTAAAGCTGCTACATGTAATAGAAAAATAATTGGGTTCGAGTAAAACTCCTGAATTGCTTCAACTTTATGTAAAATAACAAGAAAACACAGAATGAATGTGTTTCTCTGTCGACCATTAAGCATTGTGCATTTGTGCAATAATAAATAAATGGATAAGACGTTATGGCTTGCATAAATACAGTCCTCATGTACTGTATAAAATTATGAAATGTTTTATTTAGATTAAACTATTTTCACAGTTTTACAGGCAGCTTTTATTATAATAGCAATATTTCAAAACGCCACTTTTTACCACAATGTTTTTTATTTTCAAACAGGGCAAAGGCAGCTGTGATGTTCGGGTATCAATTATAAGAATAATGAAAATGTTGTTGGAGTTACATTTTGTTGGATTATTTCACGATGTTACAGATTTTGTCTGTATTTCTTCCTATCATTTATTATATAATGTCTTGTATTCTCATTTGATATGGTACGATTTGGGTAGAAAATGTGATCCTAAGGTTGTGTTCAGGTACTTTCTGGCAGTCATTTGTAGAAAAATAATGGCAAATAAACTGTACGATCTCAATGTGTATTTGAAAACACATTTCCTTCTGTGTCTGACTGGGAGCCAGCTGAAAAATATGTTTTTATTTCGCCTGAAATGTTCCATCTCTCCGTGGCCGTGAGTCTCTCTAAGTGCTGTCTTGATTGTACGAGTTGTTCGCCCGGCTGTTCTTATTCTTGTGGGAGAGTTTCAGTAATGGTCATGCTGTCGTGTCTCAAGTGTTGCTATAATTCTTCTTTGAGGATCTGTGAAAAAAAGTGCTCTCAAATCTCATCCTCTTCACATTTACCACCTCTGCTTCGACATTACAACGTTTTTTTTTCCTTTTACTGGAAAAATAAACTTCTTTCATGTATTGCGGGATCAATATTTTGAGCCTCTATGTTGCAGGAAAGTAAAAGAGAAACCGTTAATACTTGATGATTCTTGGACCGTATTTTTTCTCCATTGCCTCTTTGATCTGCTCATCCTTTATTTCCATCCTCTGTTTATGGGCTCATCTGTGAACTGTGAAGAATGAGGTAGATCTTGATCTCATTTTGGTGATTGATTTGAAGAGGTGGGGGACTGGGCTCTGAACAAAATGGCTAAAGACAATCAGAGCTAGGGGCCCCAAATCTTATGTAATGGTGGAAGGTGAACGTGACGAATAAAGTTTGAATGATTTCAATTCCTCTGCGAGTGGACATGTTCTTGTCTCTGTCATTTCAATGCAGATTTATTCAGATGTGCACTGACTTGAATTATTCTGAATATTAGAGCAATACACACACACACACAAACACACACACAAATGCTCTTCATCAGCAGCGATACATAACACACAGTGACACTAGCTCAATTAGGATTCTGATTCTTAGTGTTTTTTATTTCCCAGAAGACCAAAATCAGACTTTTCAGGCTGCAATCAGTCGTTGAAAATGACCTCCATCTAGCACGCCTGCCTAAATGAATGAACAAATTGCTTCTCTGAGGGACATAACAAAATGCAAACTAGTGTGTTTGATATGACTGTGATTGAAGCAATCATGATGCTGTGCCCCCTCTGCTTGTGTTATTATGGCCTGCTGTTGCCATGGTGGCACATACGGTTATGCGGCCCTCTGACCGATGTTTTCTTTGAAACCTTTGCAGCCGCCTCTTTTTGCTTTTGTCTTTCATTTAATTATGTAGACCCTCCAGAAAAACGCGATTCTGCGATCGCAGAATTTACCGCATAATCAGCAAAATGGCGCATATTTTTAAAAGGCCGCATATTTATCAAAAGGCCGCATAATCCCCGCATTTTTCCACACAAAGTTGAGAAGAAAAAAAAGTTAACTCGTCTTGACGTGACGTCATCAGCTCGCGCATCACAGAATGTAAACAACACTGTATAGAGCTCATTTACCAACGAACATTTCTACTAAAGACCGGGCAAAAAGTGGGGGGAAACTATTCTGCACCCCGTGCAACTGTGTGTTGCAGCATAAGAGAAAATCGACGGTGGCGACCCACTTTGATTCATTCAAACATTCGAAAATGCTTTCTGGTGCTGCGGACAAGAAAGCCATTCAACTCACGTTCACCGAGGGATCAACCTCCAAAACCCTTTCGAGGGCTACAAGAAACGAAGTGAGTAGCCTACAAGATTGAAGCTGGTCAGATAACGAACGAGTAAATGAAAACAGAATGAGGCGGAGAAGTGTGTGTGTGTGTGTGGTGTGGGGGGGGTGGTGGTGTGTGTGTGAGATTAAAATAGCCCAATTGCTTTTACAATAAATAAACATTGAATGTGTTTAATTGAATAGTAAAGGGGTTTAACGTTAGTGGCAGGTTGTGTGTGAGAGAGAATAAATAAGACAGCCCAATATTTTAATTTTTTTTTATTCTTTTCCCCCGCATATTTAGCATATTTCGCAACTTTCCGCATATTTCCTAACTTCCCGCAATTTCACCGCATAAAATCACATAAAACTCCGCATGTTTAATCGCATAAACAAGGATTTTAGCCCGCATAATCAAGGAATTTAGCCCGCATAATTAAGGATTTTTGCCCGCGTTTTTCTGGAGGGTCTAATTATGGATCTAATTGTGAGCATGATCATAGTGGTGCTTTACAGATACATTCCAGGTAGCAATCACGTTATTTATTATAAGTGATTAGTTATTGACTTTTTAGCCTTGCTAGTGCCCCTTAGCGGAAATGTAGATTTGTCATTCTTCCACATATTTGTTACAAATATTGGCTGGATTGCCTTTAAAATGTATAGAGATGTCAATTTCCCCCCCCCAGAATGAATTGAAATCAATTTCATTTCCTCTAGCGCCACTAGCTTTTATGCTAATTAGCACGTTAGCATGCTGACTAGCTCAACTGAGGTGGTGAACAACACTCACTATTATCCCAAGACTTTTTACGTTTGCGACCCTGGTCAAAGTTTGTAAGCAGTTTAAGAGAAAATACCTGAAGAAGTACTGACGTTCCGGTTGCAACCCAGTCTCATGGCATGGTTGTTTTGTGGGATGGACACTTGCAAGTGGCCGTCCATCCTGCGTTACATGAATACAGCATTAAAGTGAAAGTAAAGCCTACCGCTGCAGAAAACAGCTAACTAAATTGTCAGAGAGAATAATGGGGTGGGCATTAGAATAGCAACTCACTCTGGATATCAGGCTACATGCACTCACAATTTGCCATTTGACTCCCTAATAACACAAACAAATCCCCAGCTGTGCACTCACGCATTACATCTCTTGTTAATGCATAAATAGGCTTTTACAGCTGAACATAAGGGCATCTCAGGCAAAAACAAACAAATCCCCCCGCAATGCAAAACCAACCAGACCTCAAACACCAACAATGCAACAAACAAACCACTGCAGTGCATTTCATTAATTCCATAAACACGTATTTATATATAGGATTATTCATTCTCAAATGCACAAGTGCAACGCGGGGTAAATTGCCATATTAGCTCAAGTGCTTTGCCTTGATTGCACTATGATTGGGCCTGTCAAGCACACTTTCATCTTTGAGGAGGAAATTCCTTCAAAGCATTTATGTGTTCCAGCTCTGTAAGTCCCCTTGTTGATACCGCAGAAATAATCACGGTATAGGGGTTACATGTTTACAATTTAACACCAATTCTTAGACCTCTTTTGATTGAGCAAACAGGATTAGAGAAATACACTTTCACAACGAGTTATGCAGATGGTCATTACATTACATGTCATTTGTTAGACGCTATTATCCAAAGCGACTTACACACATNTTAAAGTTCAGGGTAATCAACTGTTAAAAACATACTGTTCAAATTGTTTTTCTCCAATAAATTGATGTTTTCAAAGTAAATGGATAATCGTTTTTAATATTATTAAAAACGATTATCCATTTACTTTGAAAACATCAATTTATTGGAGAAAAACAATTTGAACAGTATGTTTTTAACAGTTGATTACCCTGAACTTTAAGTATAATTCAGCTGAAAAACAAAACAAAAAAAAATATTTGAAAAAAAAAAAAAAAGTAATAAGAATAAAAAAATAATCGTTTTATTTCGATTACGTTGTTTTCGTAATCGTTGCAAGCCATAATCGTAGTTGCGATTAAAATACGATTAATTGAGTGATCTGTGTATTGTCTTCTAACAGTCTCATAAAATATGAAGTGATACTTACAGGCTAGTTAAGACATTTTTGAATAGCAGTTTAAGGTCTTTGTGGGGAAAACTTCTGAAGCAATGGAGACAGGACTCAGAGAGACACGATGGAGAGCTGGAGCTTTGATGGCAAACACTGACGGTTTATTTGGAGCTTCGGCCGGAGAACTCAGAAGACATGTCACGGGCCACGGTTTGACCACGGTTGAGATGCCACAATCAATTCTGAAGAAGCCTCTTGCTGCTCTTTCCTGCCCTGTTTTTGCAGGGGCTGATTCTGTGACGTAACTTTAATGCAAATTAGCTGCAGCTGACCACGCCCCCCTGCAGGAGAGGGGAGCTTGCTTTGAGATCAGCTGTTAAGCTGTCAGAAAAGGGGGAGGAAAAGAGATCTCCGTCCTCCGTGTTTTATTCTTATATGATTATATAGAGTCGTTATTCATTTGTTTTAAAGCTTAATAAATAACAAAGAAGACCTTTGACCGGGACTTTTCTAATTTTGCCCGGAAGATTTAAACATTAACGGACATGTTGACCGGCGGAAAAAAATCTAACTGAAACTCTGCCGGAGAGAATTACAGTGCTTGCCTCGACGGGGAGGGATTGCATTGAATTACAGCAGCAGGAGGCGCAAACGCTTGCCTCGGGGAGGGAGAAAAAGAGCCACAGCGGAGAATAAACAGAAGGGCAACCATGGCAACCATGGCAACCATGTGCGGGAAGTCTTCTTCGCTGCTTTTGTGGCAGACTACAGCGCCAGTTACAGGCCTGGCATATGTACTACAGCGTCTCCAGCGCTTTCGAGGGGCAATGGCCGGCCGTGGCCCAACCTCTCATTCCCCTGATAGGTGGAGAGTTGGCCATATAGGCGGAGCTCCTCGTTCCTGACGTCAGAGAATTTTGAAATCTGGATCAGTCTGTATCAGATCCGTTGCAGCCCCGTTTTTAGAGATTTGGGTATGGAGGAAAAGAGAGAGGGTTGTGTTTTCTGACACTTGGTGAGTTCCCTGACACACCGGGGACACATATTCATGTATAAAAGACGTACAAAAGTGCATTTTGCATGATAGGTCCCCTTTAAGGGAGATAACGGCTGCTCAAGGTTGGGCATCTGCGTCAGAGGGCGAAAGGTAAACATGAATACAGAATTATTCCCTGACAGTCTTATTATGCTTCAAAATTACAAGGTAATACGACTAAAGTGTTTCTTGCAAATGTATAATGCAATGAATTAATTAGATGCTGCGTCTTAACCAGGGAAAAAACGAGTGGTCCAGGAAAAAGAGTGTACACCACGATATGAATTTTGTAGCAACGGTCCTACTTTTTGTCGTGTATAAAAAAGCGACAGTGATAAGGACAGTTTACGACTTAGAGGTCGGCACTCGATAGCAGCTGCATCGGTAGAATCAGACAGAAGAAGACTTTGTAGGAGCCCTGAGCCGAAAAACATCACAGCTTCGGCCTCCTTCTCTTATTGCTCTCTCCCCACTGTCTCCCTCCAGTCCTCATTACTTTAATCTGAACCTCCCCTCCCTCACTGACTCCCCCTCCGCGCCACTGGGCTTTTCCTCCTCCATCTTCCAACCCTTTATCTTTACAGTAAAGGTAGTCTCTGGCCAGTGTCCCCAAGGTGCTTTTTTAAGCATCTGCCCCACCCTCTTCCTGGACCTGTCAGAGACGAAGAAATCGAGTGAACGTCTGTGCTCGAACATGTATGGAAATGTGCGTGTGCTCTTTCTCCGTGCATGTGTGCAGGAGTGTGCTTGAGAGTGTGTCTGGATCATTACTTGCCTGCAGGGTAGACTCCCTGCAGACCCCCAGACACAGGCTTTATCTCAACCCTAAATGACCCCCCAGAGAGAGAGGATGAGAGAGCGGCGGGGATGGATAGAACGAAGGGAGGAAAACAGGGTGAGTGAAGGACAGGGTGAGAGGGGGACAACGGGAAATAGAGAGGGAGCAAGATGAGATTTGACTAAAGACAAGCAGAGAACAAGAGAACATGGAG